TTTTGATGTTGATGATGATGATGATGTTGCTGTTGTTTTTGATGTTGTTGATGATGATGTTACTGTTGCTGTTTCACCTTTTTTACTAAATATAAAATAAATACGAATATATTTAATATGATAAATCATTCAAAAGAAGTCAGACGATGATGAAACAAGAAATTGAGAGCATGCCAACTATAATATAATAAGAAAAATGAATTCATTCAAATATATTTTATGAGTTATATTTCTCGAAGCTCATTGATGACGAAGTAATCAATATTGAACTACTGTATTTTATTTAAAATATGATCTTTATTTACCTCTTTGATGTTGTTTTTTTCCATAGATCTAAACCAGTTGATATTGTTCTATTAATATTATGAGCATCGCAAGAAAATCTTATTCCAAATTCTTGTGATGATGTTGCAGATTTTATATCACTGCCATTATCAGTTGTAATAGAAAAAATTTTCGATTCAATTTCTAATTTTTTAATTTCATGAAAAATAAATTTTTTTAATCGAGCACTCAAGTGCCGACCTCGAAAAGATCGAAAAGAAATAACGTCTGAAAATGTTTCATAATGTTCATTATAATAATGAGCAGTAATAACTAAGAAATGATGTCGTCGAGAATTCATCCAAAGATCTGTAGTTAAAGATATAAATGGAACTGTTTTAAACTTTTCTTTTAATGAAGATCTTCGTTCTTGGTACATTTTATCTAAATTTTTACGAACGGTTTGTCTGGATGGCCCATGATAGCCTGGTTTAATTACATCAAGGAAATTTTGCATGCCAGGACGTCGAAATGTTCCAAATGGTAAACCATCTTTTACTATGCATTTAATGGCAGCTGTATCAAGTTGTTTTTTCACATGTGGCAAAACAGAAGCTTTCTTTTCAAAATTTTCACGTTGTTTTATTTGAGATGGATATAAATACCAACAAAAACCATGTTTAAATCCAAGGTGGCTTCTTAAGTTTGTATCAGATAATGGATTATATTTATATTCCTAAACGAGAGACATAATATATAGAAAATGAAGTAAAAATTTAAAAAAATCGTAAGAGACTGATTGAATTTTCCTTTATATGACTCTCAAAATACGTCTTTACTTTTTACTCAAGAAAAGTAATTTGGTTTGTTCGAACTGTAAAGCTCTTTACGTCTGAGTTTTCAAGTAACAAAAAAGAAAAATATCTTCTTACACGTGAACAAATACAACATTTAACTCTATCAGTACCATTGACAGGTGTAAAATATTCAATCGGTTGCTTTTGTAAGCTTTTCTTATTATTGAAATCTGCTACAATGATAGTATCAGTACTGGCACTTGAAATATTAAGAGGATTTTGTTCTTCATCTTCATGATTTTCGAATGAATTTGAATTATGAATATTATTAGTATTTGAACATTCCATTTCGATTTGTAAATCAACATCATTTTCTTTTTGTTTTCTTCTCAATTGTGGTGTTCCCTTAGATGATTTTCTTGAACCATGAGAAACACCTTTTTTTGAAATTCCACCTTGAATGCTAGATCGACGTCGTAGACTTGAAATTTCCTTTGAATTAATTCGAGATGAACTTCCTCGACCTGAGATCAACATATCATGATTATCAGATGACGATAATTGATCATTAGTAGTATTATTATTCATTCTTTTTTTTTTGAATATAATTAGTATGTTCGTTGAAATGTGTTTATGTTGTATTTTAGCTCGTTTATAAATATTTATATGTATTCGATATCACCCTCGAAAGTAGACACAACGGTTTTTCTGTATGCTTTGTCCTTTCATTAACGGACGCCTGCCAATTACAATAATTAAGCGTATACATTAAGTTTTTATCTGACTGTCTCTCCTTCTTTCCCTCATCTCTCTTTCTTTCTCTCCGTCTCCATTTCTCCCTCTTCTCTCTTGTTCTCTTTCCTCATTTATCTAAAATGTACTTATTGCACTCGGAAAAATGATTTCATACTATATTTTTTTTATTTTTTCTCTCATATTGTAATCAATTATGTATTAAATATGTCAGATGAATGTTATAAGCGTTTCTTTATGCATGCATTTAAAACACGAAATAAAGTTGCTCATATTGAAATACTGTAGTCAAGAAGTTAAGGATGCATATCAAATATAAGAATGACAAAAATTGATGGTACACATATATTTATCTCATTGAGCAACATTATATTTATTATCTATGATTAAGTAAACGCTAAAATTTTCATTCAATTTAAGCTTACTAAGTGACAAAGTGAGTTCAAAGCTAGAGTTATGCAATAGGGCTCAGATGAGAAAATAAATGCTCTTTTTTATATGATATACACCGTGATTGATATCTTATTAAAGAGAATCTAAATATTCAAGACGCTACACTTGTCATCTGATGATAGATTTCATCATTCTTCTTCTTTTATATGATCGGGTCCGGAAAAAATCCGGGATATAACATGTATACATGGCTGACATGGTTGAAAAAAATATTGAAAGAAAATAGTTAATCAACTATAGTCAAGCCATCTCCTAAAAGCAAAGCAATTTCGTCATTGAATATTGTCACCAGCGTTTCAATTACGCCAATGCCAAAAGATGATAACTAATTATGTTGCAAAATGAACCAAGGAAAAACACTATATTTTAAGCAGAACTTTAACTGAATTAGAGTCGTAGCCATTTTCACAATAAAAGCTAACAATTTTTAGAAGAATAATATAGTTAACTAGAAAAGTCATGAGTAAGATTTAATTTTTATCTCCGTTATTACAAAGAAATTTATTGAAATAATCAGCATATGATTTAGAAAAGCAATTCATTAAAATAAAGAACGGTATTAACATGTTGTCACTTCTTACGTATTATATATTGCATTTATTTTTCAATTAATAAAAATAATCCTATGAAATAACTTTTAATTAATGTGTATATATTGTTGTTATAACATGATTTATTTATTTATTTTGTTGAAATTTCCAAACAAATTTTTTTTATTCTTTATTCTTTATTTTAACTTTATTTTTAAAAATAAAGATTATCTTTATCTTTATTTTATAAATATAAAGATTTACTTTATCTTTATTTTTTTAAAAATAAAGATTTCTTTATTTCTTTATCTTTATTTTTTAAAATAAAGATTATCTTTATTCTTTATAAAATAAAGATAAAGTAAACTTTTACCTTTATTTTTAAAGTAAAGATAAAGTAACACCCCTAGTTGAATGACGTCAACCTATTACATATTAATACTTTAATCATATTGAAAATACTCTAAATAGATTAAAAAATACGCAATCAAATGATGATTAAAACTGTAAACGATTGCCATTCCCTATGACAAAAATGAATGATCAAAAAAAACAGTTTAATACTGATGATTGTGTTTTTTTCTTTCATACAAAATAATATAATCTATTTGATTATTTTGTATTTATTTTAGTGATGCATGTGAAGGTTTAGCTTATTTAGAAAAGAATCGTATTGTTCATCGAGATATAGCAGCAAGCAATATATTAATTGCTGATGATAATACAGCTAAAATATCAGATTTTGGTTTAGCTATATGTTTAGAAACAATAGGAAAAGAAAATGGAAATAATATTACGACAGAAAAAATCAAATGTCGAACAAAATGGACTGCACCTGAAGTACTTGAATCAAAAGTAATGTGCTTTATTTCATCGAAACAAACTATTGTATTTCTTTTGTTTTTTTTATTTTCTATAGAAATATACACATAAAAGTGACATGTGGTCTTATGGTATTCTTCTTTGGGAAATATTTTCTTATGGACGATGTCCTTATCCTCGTCTAGTAAAGAAAAATAATAAAAAAATATCTGAAATAATTTTATATTCTATAGCCTGCTGATGATGTCTTGATCAATTTAAAAGAAGGATATCGAATGGAACCACCAGATGGTTGTCCAACAGAAATTGGTGATATTATGCGTCAAGCTTGGCATGCTGATTCTAATCGACGACCATCATTTAGCCAAATACTTGAACGACTTAAACGTTTGGATGCATCTTTTTAATCGTCATATTTATTTTTAACGGCTTATATCGTCATTTCTTAATTCATCCGTCTATCACAATATTTATATATTATTAATATTGTGATGTGAATTTCTATTGTATTTTAGTTAATTTAACTTCAGAATGATGGTATTGTATATATTCATCTGTTCGTTTTCTTATTCGTTGTACATATATTGTATTCAGCAAAAAGCAAAGTCTGTGTTGTTTTCTTATATGTGCATATATTTGTTCAATTAATTTTATCTTTCTTTCATATTTTGATAAGCATTTAAATCAAAAACAAAAAGTGAACTTTTTTTTTCTATTGTGTTCTTTTATTACTAACAATATCGTTGAAATTATTCAGTAACATGACTATAAAATTTGCAATTATTATTAAATTATATATATATATATATGTGTGTTAATAAAAAGACATTTATAAGTCAAATATGACATATTTTATAAGAATTAGTTCTTCTGATTCTTGTAACGGGCATAATTTTATTATTCTGATGATAATTACATAATGTCGAATTTTGTAGATGGAAAATAGATCCGTTTATTCATCAACAGAATTAAAATGTGCACGTTCTACTTGAATAAAAAAGAATTCTAGACTATTTAAAACTATTGAAAATCATCATAAATCAGTTAGTTCCTTCTTGAAATTATATCAATTCATGCTGTTTAATGATTTCTTTTTCAATTATTCTGACCCATTATTTATATATTTCTGTTTATTGAAGATAAACATGACATGAGTACAGGAGATGGAAAAGGTCTAGATTTTTCACGATCGATGCAAGCCAGACCAACATCGATTTCACCTCTGATGAGTACAAAAGCAGGAATGTTTTTCTCATTTAGTAAACAATGTACTAGGTTACTCATTTTTCTTTGAAGTCTTCTGAGGCTTACTTTGCTCATTTCTTTTTTTACAATTCATATATCTAGATGCTTAACAAAGAATTTTTATGTTCGAAAGAATCACGACAATCCATTTGAAAAAAAACCAGTAGTTCTAATTCTTATGCATCATTGAATTTCAACAATCTATGTTTCCTTATTTGGTGGTAATACTTTTTTATGGTTTGGACAACATTTCAAACAAAATTATCATCATATTCTAGCCGGAGACCTGTTAAGAAATAGATGTTATATATCATAGTACAAGTTCACATTAATTGATTTTACTAAAACGTTGAAAGAATATTTCTATTATCAAATGCTGGTATAAAAACAAAAATTTCCATCAAATTTTTCTTGATCTTATCATTCATATCTTTCATTGCTAGGGAAAAAAAAATGATTACTTTAATGGTTTCTAATATTTATCCATTTCTTCGTACTATCCATAAAGTAAAATCTATTTATATTGAATATGAATATATTTTTTACCGATGAAAAAGAATACAAAATCAATTCATTAAAAAAAAGTATACAAGAAATTGATAAAACAAAAATAATAGTAAACAACTATTTAAAAAAAATCTTATTAAGTATTAATTTAAATGCTTCTAGTTGTTAGTCATTTGTAAATAAATGTATGTTATATTCTATTATATGCATTTTTTTTCGATGCTAGTCTCGAAAATTTCATTTAAGACTGACACACATTCACCTATAACGCTGCAGATCAGAAAACAAAGATCAAGTACACTTAAGAAGCAACTCGAAACATTCTCTTGATATTTTTTTTTAGTCAACAATTACTACAGGCACGTATGAGACTGTTAATCCAGGTATTATTAAACTATCAATAATCAATGCACTCAGTAAATACCAACGATAGAGACTATTGTATCGGTATGTCAGACCTCGACCTTTCAAATGTCAATATCTGAAGGCTTAAAAAAAAACATACATTTGATTATGATGGTCAGAAAAGAAAGATGAAGAATTATTCGCAGTACCTCGATGAGCTTCAAAAATTGAAGCAAATGTACAGTAGTCAATAGAGCTTTTGAAAATATCTTAATATAGATTCTATTTTGAACACCATTTATATGAAATAGTATCACAAAAAAGATCTTATTGAATTTGGTTTACAATTGAAAGATGACGAGGATGAAATGACCACAGATGTCAATTAGATACGTGTATGTGACACAACAAGTAATACCTATGTACGAATCTTTTGCAGATCGTAGATTAGTACCCTGAATACATAGATGTCCATCACAGTTGGATATATGTCTCTGTCACGATGATTTTCGAGAAATTCTTCGAAAATCTCTCCCATCACTATGCTCAATTAGCACAGTTAGATTGAATCCATCAGATTTACCACGATTTTGACTGTTGAATTTTTAGAAACTTAAATTGGGTGAAAATTCATGCAATTTTATAATCTTTCTGACGATATCTCCTGCCTGGATATGACCAAAAAAAGAAAAAATCAGAGGAATGATAATAATGGTTAATAGCAAATATAGAAGATCTTTTACTTTGATGAATGTACAAGTAGACCCCTATGATATATCTAACAACAAACGAAATGAACAAATTTAATGAAAATTTAACTCAGATCTTATCATCTTGATTCAATTGAGGTGAATATATGACTTTTCATTTAGTAGAAAATTGTAGAGTTCTTATAACGTTCTTTCAATTCTATAGATCTTATTGATATTGATTATTACATTGAAATAAATAAAATCATGATTATATATCTATAAATTAATTATCAACGATTCGTTATGCCAGGAAAAACGCAATACAACAGAAATATCTTTCGAATTGTACGTGAATCAGAGATCGAGCAAGCGTCTCAAGATTGGCGAAGTCTGTAAGAATATGTCTCACAGAGGTAGTAAAAATTCAAAAAAAAACCTTCCTAGTTTACTGCGCAATAACGAACAATTTTGAATTATTAGAGCGGTATATACCCTCTTATCATTCCACTTTCACGGCTCCTGATGAAAATAGAATGTTAATTAAGCGTATGTCATTCCATATTATTTATTTGTTCTTTTCAATTACTCGAGTTGTTTTCTTTGTGATATAATTAAGTAATGGGAGTATTAAGAAAGGCCATATCCTAATAATAACCTTGGAAATATTTTTCTTTGATATAATGAATTCACATTCCAAAATTTGTTGGTTCTTCTTAGAAAAAAACGAAATTTATGAAATAAGTGGTTGTTTATTATATCAAAATAATATTTGTTTTAAACTAACTTTTTTACTATCTCATTTAAAAGGAAATAAATCAAAAAATTTATTCAAAGTATTCTTATTTAAAAACTTTTTAGACTTGGAAATAATTTTTTCTCTATCGAAGATAAGTTGGATATGTACAGCAGTAGTAACTACAACTGAATGAATTTTTTTCATCTTCCAATGATTAGTACATACAGTAAGAAGATAAGTATTATACAGAAATGCTAATTTGCATACCAGAAAGAAAAATAATCGATGTGTGATAACAATATATGCATTATAAGAAGAAAAAAAAGGAGATAACATATGATTTTGATTGATTTATGATATACAATATCATTCTTTTGAATTGTTGGTATTTATCTATATTTGTATTTAATAATGTTGAGAAAACATTTCAAACATAATTATATTATCCTATCTATATGCAATCTGTTTTGATTATTTTATATATTGTTTATTTGACTTTCTTATTATATTGTTTTTATTATTAGTAAGTATTTACCATTTTTATTTTAGATATTAATCAATATTTCAAAAAACAAAACAGAAATTAATTTATTTTCATAAACAATACAAATCGATCTAGTGAATTCTATAAGATCTTATTTAATTAAAGAAATACTAATCCACATACAATAAATATTCAATACTACAACGCATACTTAGTTCTTTCTTTTTCTTTTTCTTTTTCTTATCAATTACATAGGCATTCGAAAAGTTGGTTGTTGATAAGTATAACCCATACGTGATGCATCTACTGGTGGATATCTTATTGATGATGGTGTTCCTGGCATAATCTGTTTTGCATCGGGACTATACACATATTCATCACGTTGATCTACACAACAACTAGCATAAATACAACCAAAAATAGATGTTATTGTACCAACAATTGAACCAAATGCACCAGCAGCAATTAATAATGAATTAAGAATAAGTTCATTTGATTGCCAATTTGGTGTATTATCATTAGAATATTTCATATCATATTGAACAGGAATAATACATGTTATCATCATATAAAATGAAAGAATAGTTGACACAATTGAAAGTGCTGTAAATCCAATAATTGATGATCGAGTACATTCACGTGATGATAATATACCTACGAGACCTGTAGCCATTAAAACGAGACCAACCCAAAAGCCTTTACCTAAACAAAAATTAACAAAAAAAAAAAAGAAAAGCGAAAGATCATATTTGAAAAACAAAAAAAGAAAAGAAAAGAAATTCTTTTTATTTACCAGATGATGGCCAAAGTGGATTTTCAATTTTTAATCCACCTTCAGATTCATTATAATTATAAACACTTGGTTTTCCTTGAAATAAATCAATAACAGACAAAATTAATGATGCTAAACCAATAAGAAATAATATAATAGCAAGTATAGCAAGAATACGAAATCGTAGACGATTTGATTCATTGTTTGAATTATAAAATTTCTCCATTATATAGACAATATAAGTGATATGTTTCTCTTCTTTAGATCAATATGAATATAACGATGAAAAAGAACGAAATAAACAACATTGATCTCAATGATCAATGAAGCATGACAACTATCATCGGTCAACTTTCAATATTTTTTAATATCCACCAAAGAAATGAAGAAGAACAGTTCAATATTCGTCGTATCCGAGAGGTCATCCTGTATATGACTAGGTGTATACAAAAAAAAAATACCGAAGACATTAATTTATTTCGTCTCATCTTCTATCAATACACACATATATGTATATCTGTATTTTTACTTCACCTGTATGAACTTCATTTTATAATATGTGTGTGCATATACATATATATATCTATTTATCTTTCAAAAAAAAAAAATACAAATCTGCCCTTGACAGATATTAACAAAAGAACAGCAAAAACTATCCTAGAGTGCATACAAATACATAAAAAATAAACAATCTGTTTTAAATATTTGTTCTTATGTAATAATACGTAATGTCGGTTGTGGTTCATTTAAAGCTCGATCAAATTCATCATCAATATTGTCATCAACAAGTGAATAATGTCCTATTGATGATGAATGTGGCATAGTATGAAATTCAGTTTCAGTTGTTATAGCTATTGGTGTTGTAGTTTTTCGTCTTCGACCTATTATTAAGCAACATACACATGCACATTGTTCAAGTAATAATTCAAGCCAATAAGGTTCTGTGCAAGCAATTATAAATATTTGTGTTAAATAAAAACTAGCACGTAATAGTGATGCTAATAAAAATGATTTAAATGTTTCAGCTATATGTTCAAGATAATACAAGTAAATATCATAAAAAATAAGTATACAAAGTAATGATGTTACACGTATTGTCCATAGTTTTTCTATGGGACGAATTTGATTTGTACCACGCATAATATAAAAATAACGTAAAACAAAACCAATTGCTATTAATGCTGGAATAAATAGAATAAAATATAGAATTGAACGAGCTGTTGCAAGCATGTATAATTTTGAATAATTATATAAACAGTATTTAGTTGTGTATGTTGAATAAATCACTCTTGAGTTATTTTGATAAAATGGTGAAGCGAGTGTATAAATAAGAATAATAGAAAGCCAAGTTGCAATAGTCGAAAAATGTAAAAAATACATTGAAGAAAATCGTGGACAATAATGTTGTAATGATGGATGTGCGTAAAGAAAACGTTCAATAGTCATATAAAGAACAAAAAAAAGTGGGACCTGAAAAAAATAAAATCAACATTATATTAATTTCAATATTTATTTGAAGACTTACTGCTTCATTAGCTGATAATATAACATAATGAAAACGACAAAGACGTACTGTAAATATTTCAAACCAATGATGTAAAAGAAGAATTAAAGCTGGAATCCATGCAATAAATGCACAAAGAATAATTTGAGTAGAATAATAGTCAATTACATTTAAATATGCTCGTGAATGAAACATTCTTATAATAAGTGGAATTGCAATAATATATGTTAAAATTGTAAATGTCCATATAACAACATGAACACTAGTTACAGAATATTTTTCTGGTTCAATTAAATCAGCTACTTGATGATTATATAAATCTGTTCCATTAAGTAATCTTTTAATAAATTGATAGAGAGTTTCATTTATTAATGAAGAATTTGTTGATAATCCCATTCTTTGTATTGTTGTAGTTTCTGATGTCGTCAATAACTTTATTGGAGAAGCATTACTCAATTGTATTCGACTATGTTGATGTTGATACTATTGTTGTTAAGGTTGGTAAAAGTTGTATATGTAATAGTTACTTTATCGTCTCTTTTTATCGTATTCAGAAGGAATATAGTGTGCGTCTTCTACGTTCCGTTGTACGACTGAATGTGCTGATTTTCGAATAGGTTGTGTGGCGAATGCGTCGCATGCTTGATTAATTTCATTTCTCCTTCAGCCTTCTCTCGACTAGCGGCAGCAACAACAGCAGAAAGAAAAAAAAGTACGACATGACGATGTCGGCGAAAAAAAAGAAAGAAAGAAAAGAATTGAACAGATGAAAGCATTGAGTAATGTTAGAATGGCGTCGACAGTCAGTATAGAATTGCGTATAAATGTGCCGATAAAACTGTTTTATGATGAAGCAGAAACAACAGTTTTCATCATATGCGTAATGTTCTTTTTCTTTCTCTGAAATACGACTACTAGGGTCAACGTCATGTATCTATATAAAAATATGAATGGTGCAGAATAACCGTATAAAATAAAATAGATCAATTGTCTTCATAATGTACTTGAAAAAAAAGCTTTTGCATCCGTTGAAGGTTATATATACATTTGTGTCGAAAAAAATATTACATCTAGTTTTTTTTTTTTTTTTCATCGATCACATATGAATATATTCAATCATAGAAATAAATCGACAATAGCTGAATATAATGTTCAAGTACAATCAAGCGTTGATAGTTCATTATTATATCATGTATTGATAGCAATTGAGTAATGATCAGTTGATGAAATATAGTTATATCATCAAAAAGAAAAATCAGATGCATAATAAGAAGTTGATTAATCATGTATCTATCAACATGAATAGGATTAATATCAAGTTTAATATTGAAGATAACTTTGAAAACAAAAGTTTATCCTAGCATTATTACGAATCCATATGTAAGAGTACATTGATGTTTTAAACGTTAAATATCAAAGTGATCTTTCAATATAAATCATTTTTATTCATGCAATAAATTCATCCTATCTCTAGTTATTCAATTTAAATTTGGTTATCAACAATTGCTGCATCATAAAATAATGAGTGACATGATATATTACTAATATACACGAAGTGCAAATATTTATATAAAATAGCAATAATTGTTGCATCACGTACTTAATTTAAATGGTCTTTTTTTTTGGCTTGTTAAGTGACAAAGAATCATTGTTGATATTTGATTTATTTTTGACTTTTCATAAAATAGAACACATCTATGATTAATATTTATAGAACAATCATCTCAAGTAATCTATGGCCTTTAACAATCGAGCAACAAGCTATTCAGAGATAAAAATTTATGACGATTGCATGTTCTTCCTATGAATTTTAAAGAGCAAGCTATAATCCACTAGATTGTCTATACATATAGACAATCTTGTTATTCGATTTAATTTAATCAACGAAAATAATTAATAAAGTAGTTTTTAAGAATGTAGAACTGATATCTCTCCGCATGAGTGATATACATGTCAAAATCTAAAGGTCATCAAAATGTTATACTATTATCAAGGATTTCTTTTATGTTCTATGTTACTAGGTACTTTTATCTGATACACTAATTCTCTTATGAAAGACGTTTCGAAATCGTATTCAATTGGCAAAAAATGTAAATTACTGGCTCTATATTGAAGTATTTATATTTCTTTTGCAATCTATCGATCTTTATTGAACTGCATATTAATAGTATTTCTCTACCAATATAATCAGTCAAATTACTAAATGTACTCATCGCGGTGTATATTACAGCCACTTTTGAATATATGAATCTATATACATGCCTAAGTAATCATGTAATGATAATATTTCATTATAATAGCCGATTAGCATATACTTAAGACAGTATGAAGCTGCTGTTATCTGTCTTTTTTGAAACCTTGGACTCAATAGTCCTATTGGTAAAAAAGTATAAATTAGAAATGTAATGTTATCATGTAATTCATAGAAATTGGCTTTGATTGTTTTCCTCAAAGCAATAACAAATATTCAAGAGTATTCCTTATCTTCAATAAATTATTTTTCTAATTAATCTTAGTCTCTGGATAGTGTTTTGTTTTGGAAAAAGAAATAATGAGAAAAATACATTTCTCTTAGGAATTCTATACAATCAAGTTTTTACATTGTAACAAAACAAAAATTTGTTTTTAAAAGTTGTTCAAGTAATTAATAAGAAAAGAAAGTCTTTCTTGGTTTTTTTTTTATTGATAAATGTTTTTTACTGTATTAAATAATTCCTTGTCATTGGGGTATACGAGATACTTGCTGGGTACTATTTCAAGTTCAATATATTTTCATTATAAATGCGTTTTAATGTTTATCGTAACTTCAAAAAAAAAACAACTGAGGTCTATTTTTCAGGAATGTTCAAATTTGGATTAAGATATAGACACTATAGTGTCAGTGAAAGAAATTTCTGTTTGGAAAACAGAACTCTATTAAAATTCTGATGTAATGATTATTTAATTACTGCAATATTATAATAACATAAATAGAATGTGAACTTAGGCAATGGTAAATGTTTTTACAATACAGAATATTTTTTTTAAATTCTACTTCTAATGAATTCTGTCACTTTTTATATTTATTTCATTTTAAATATCTTACTACTTCTGATAGAACATGAATCGTTTTATATTGATATAGAAAAAAGTAACGAACTTATCTTTTACATATAAATGAATCTTGTGAGAAGAGACAAAGTAAAATTATCTGACACGTACGTTTTCATTTGCATATCGAGACATGCGTTTCGTTGAAATGTGTGAATGTTGAAGTATGTTATTATCCTTTGAATATTATACACATCATACGACATAACCTTCATAATGAATGTGTAATTTCTTGCGTGCCCAAAGAAGTACAATAAGGACAGCTACAACAATGAAACTACGAAAGTATTAAGTGGCAGCAACAGACTATCTTCTATGCTTTTACATACGATTAATAGTGTCTCGATTTTTGCTTTTTCAAAATAAAGATCATATATTTACGGTACTAAGAGTTGCTATTTCAGGCCAAATCTTCGCATGAAATTTAGTCAATTTTGATCACTCTCTCTGATGCTTTTGTCGTATTTGATGAAATACGATTAAGCAGCGTAAAAGTTGGCAAGAATCAGTCGAAATTTCGAGACTTTCAGTCTATTCCTATCGTTTTTTACACTTTTTTATTGTATTTCATCAAGATAAAAGCATGAGATAGAACGATCAAAACTGAGAAAATTTCTGGGAAAGACTTGGCCCGAAATGGTAGTTCTAAGTGCTGCAAACATGTGACTTTTAGTGTGAAAAATTGGAAATTAGCGAATTCTCATGTAGAATGAAAATTTTGTATGTCTGTAGAAAATAATTTCCTCCAACATTAACCGAACAATTCAATCAATTTTCTTCTCGTCATTTAGTATTTTCGATTAAAACACCATACAACAAAACAAAAAATAACCCATGTAATGTGAACTGGACAAAACCTATCGGTAAACTGTCGATAGATCGTTGGGTACAATGGGCGCTATAGTGACAGTATTTGCCAATGATGGCAAAAAACTACTGGTGTACCAGCAATCAAATAATGGTAGTTTGATACTTAAATTGTTAACTATCCTGTGATCGCTATTCTACTGTGATATAACGATAGTTGTTCTCTGACTAGATATCTGGTGTTAGCATATCAGTCATGATGAGAACAAATGTGTGACATCAAAAATTTGACCAAAATGTCTTGAGAGAAAAGAACAGGAAATACATTAAATCATGATAAAAGTTATTAATGTTAATGTCAACACTTCCATGTAACTTCTACTGATGCCAACAGAATTGCTTCAAACAAGATATATTTATTTAGAGGCATCATTGCTTATCTGTTTAGTTACTGAGAGACTAAGTAATCAAAGCTGCACATAAAGATAGAATTTTTTTTTTATACATCTTTCTTCAGCTATCTACTTCCATTACACAATGAGCTTGCTAGAATCAATATATAGATATATATGAATAGATTATCTTCGAATTTTTCTGCGATATAAGAACTATTTTATTGAATTCTGCGAAATAGAACCTGTAATCAGAAATGGATGAAAACGAAAAAATCAAAATGTATTATACATAAATTGCAAAAATGTTTTCGATAGTATGTTGTAATATTCATTGAGTGAACAAATAAATAAATAGTCACGTATTTTCAATCTAATCAAGAGAAAAAAAACAAAGACCATTGTTGATATTTAATAAGTAAGACTACGACTAGAGAGAAGAAATAGATGAATGATTAACCATTAGAGACACATGTCCAAAATATTCTAAGTAGTATATCATGGAAAGACCAGATTGAAATATCTGTACTTCGTATGAACGTTTATAAATTAAAATTTCTCTTATCAAAGCTCAGATATATTCTCTATCCAATTGATGATTGAAAAAGAAAATAAAAATCAAGTTTTTATTTCGATCAGTTTATGTTGAAAGAATTTTTCTTTATTCATAATACAACACTGGCTACAGATTTGGAATAAGTCACTTTATATAAAAGGTTTAAATATCGAGAAGTCTATGAAAAGAAAATACTTCTGGCTGTCTTGAATGAGTATTGATATCTATAGAGCTTCAACTGTAACTCAGCATTTCTTTTTCTAATTTAAAATATATTATTCTTTGATAAACTGAAATATCAATGGAATTGTCATGAAGAAACAAGTTTGAGAGAACGATATATTTATCTATGAGTAATCAAATCATTTCTACAAAATGTTCCGACATGAAAAAATAAATATTATTCCACGTTCATTCTCCTTTTCTATAGATGATGTTGTGTATGTTCGAAAGTATATTCTATTTTTCTATTTTGTTTAGCTCATGCATTATTTCAAATGAAAATGAACTTCAAACAATTGACGAAAAATTGCAATGTATAATAATAATTC